AAGTACTCCAGAGTGTTGTTCAGCATGGGGGTGAGTAGAAAATGAAGGCTAATCATGTTTTGGGTGTACTATTCCTTTAAGGATTTCAGTCTGAATTTAGGAAGTTCCCTGCTGGGTGAATTCAGAGAAACAGACATTTCTATACAGCTTTAAATCCTATTTAATTCCTATACTCTTAACGTTGGTGTAGTTTCCTAAATGGTGCCTAAAGTGTTTATATAAATCTATAATTGCGTTGCCATGTCATTGATTTGTTTCAGTATTACGCTGTAGGTTTAGTATCAGGTCAGGAAAGGGATCAAAACCATTTTAAGACAGGAATGCAAATGCTCTTTTCATTGTGTTTCCTTCTAATGTTGGCCGTCATTTATGGTATTGAGCCACTTGATAACGTGGCTGTTTCTTTAAGCCAGATGTGCTTTGAATGTATCCAGATGTGGTATTGTTTGCCTCACAGTGGAGGATATGAGTTGGAGGGCAATAATCCAGGGGACACATCCACATTTTCGAAATACAGTTGAGCAGAAATGTATTAATCAGCCACTGATTGTGCAAGTTCGCCTACTTAGAAAGAGGAAGAGAGGTCTGTAAGAGACAAAATGAGAAATAAAATCTAAGAACTCACATTGTTGGATTTTTAAAGAATTTATATATAAATCATGCTGGAAATTGTTTAGTTATCAACAAACAAGAAGGATTTCTGGCCCCTGTTTGAACTAGACACGGCCTGAAACGCCAGGCCGGCGATAGTTGGTTCTGATATTTGCGTTCTCTGCTTGTAACAATGATGTGGGAAAAAATAAATAAATAAAAAAAGTCTACAATCTGTGACATACTACACCCAGAGGAACTCGCATCCTGCAGGGCCAGGCGTGTCCCCCTGCTGAAGACATGTCCAGGCCCGTCTGAGGTTTACCTAAGAGTAGATGGAAGATGCAGAAGAGGATTGGGAGACCTTATGAAACCAAAATAAACATTTTTGAAAGAAACTCGACTCGTCATGTTTGGAAGCAGAAGAAGAATGCTGTGTTACCTCCCATGAACACAATACCTACTGTGAAGCATGGGGGTGGAAACGTCATGCTTTGGGGGCTTGGGCGCTGTCATTGAAAAAACAAAGGTTATGCTATAAAGTATTGCGTTGAATTTTTGTTTTAGAGCAGATTTGATTTATTTTATTTTTTACCATAATTTACACATGGATTCTATTAAAAAATCTCCTTTTATCTCTCATATTTGAAGTGAACCTATGATCAAAATTAGACCTTATCTGTCTAAGTAGGTGAAATAAGGCTGACTAAATCTTTTTTTTTTTCCCAACTGTCGCTGTTCTTACAGCTTTGTTTCAGTTTACTGAGTTGATCTTTTGTTAATTACCTATTAGTACAGATTTGCATTTTAGTTTTGTAATTTCTCAGTCATAAAATTAGATTTGTTTTTATAGCGAGTGATCTTCCCCTCTCAATCTTTCAGGTTCAAAGGCAGCAGCGATGGAGCTCTCCACCTCGGTCTACGACCTTGGTACGCCTGTGAATGCCTATCCGCTGCAGTTAGCCGAGGAGCTCAAACTCGCTCTGGAGGTTCAACCCAACCAGGAAGAGAGAGACAACCTCAGAGCTCAGCTGCCTCCAGAAACGGCTCAGGCTCTCATCAACTGGCTGCAGACTGGAACTGTGAGTACAGGATCTGACATGATGCAGTTGTCGTGGGTTTATCCTAACAGCCTCTGTGTTAGACCTTGATACGGTCAACTTGACTCCAAAATCATGAGAAAAAAAAAAATCTTGGAGGGCATGTCGACATCTTCAGTTTATCATATTTATTTCACACCTCCCAAAAATAAGAGCAGAGTAGCAGGGGAAAATGCAAAAAAAAAAATAATATGGAAACAAATGTAGTATTTACATCATTTCAGACAAAAAAATACCTTTTGTGCTGCACAGCAATGTTACCTTCTCTG